TAGACTATAGACCTTTTTTCTTTTTTTTTAACAACAACAACAAAGAACACATTTACATGTACCTTTTGTTTTTGCTGAAAAGTACCCAGCTCCAGTTTGCTCTCTGAGTAACTGGCACACATTTGAGCCATGATGTTGGCACTTTGAATGTAGTTCAGATAACTTTCATAGTTCTCACACCTTAAAACAGTCATATTCTGCGGCAGGTTGTTCTCCATAAGTGCATCCTTTTCCATCCTTTGATGTTTCTGCATTGGGATTCATCAAAGGCTTCTATCCTATCCTGCATATGCCTAAAAAGTAAGTCTGCGTCAGGGCAGTTTCCAGGCACTGGAGAGAATCAACCTGCATCATCTTCACACTTCATTCTCATAGACCACTGCTTTAGTCAGACACCTTGTGCTGCCAGCTACTGCCTGAGTTGCCTGTGCTTTGAGTTGTCAACACTTCTATCAAAACAAAAAATCAACTAATTTAGCATTAACTTACAGTGATCCCAACAAGGGTAGAGCTTTTGTGCCTACATTCACTTCTCTCTTACGTTCTGCAGTTTTTCAGCATCCTTGAGATTAAGCCATGAGAAAAGCCTTTCTTGACCCTGAGATTAATCTATTTTATTTGAAGACACAACAAGAATGTTAGTGTTTGAACCTGGTAAAGTGCCCAGTTGATGGTGATCGGTGTTCCTTGCTTTTGCCTTATGACAAGATGATCAGGGGTTCAATCCCCTGCTCTGACATATTTTGTATTTGTGGGTTACATCTGAAATAACTAGTTTCTACAGTTCAGAAATGCTCAGAAATGCTTTGTTAATTCATGGTGGCCCAGTGATGCAATGGTGAAAGTGAATAAGAGTTAGGAAAAAAAGGGGATGAATGGGTGGATGGTAAATATTTAAATGTAGCGGTGTCTCAAAAAAACTTTTTCTTCTTTTGGTGTCTCAAAAATGCATATGAGACTGATAACAATTCCATTCCCATGATGGAAGAAATAAACCTGTCCACAATTAAAGCTAAAAATAAGAATATACTTTATTGTACATGTATGAACAGCTTCATAATTAGCACAAGCATATCCTATTTATAGTACATTAGATTACATAATCTAGATTTTTTTTTTTAGATATATTTTTTGTTTGGAGTTAGAGTTACAAATTGTGGTTTTCAAAATACTCCTAATTTATTTTCATTTTATTTTATTTAAAATAACCAATTGCTGTAATAAAATTTTACAGACATCAGTATTTTACAGACATCAGTTCTATATCATTATATCAGTTCTATATCATTTTTTAATAAACCTGTTTTGAACTTTATTTAGCTATAAAGCTCCATCATCATCATCATCATCAACTCTGGGTGATTAACCCCTGGCTCAGACATGAGTCATTTGTTAATCCAGAAACAATTCCCACTCACTAGTCTCCAGCCAATTCATGTAAAATGATTGTGTGGATAATTTCTTTTCTTTTCTTTTTTTCATTTATATAGAATAATATAGTCGAACCAACGCACTGAGCTCTTAAAAGACGATTCAATAACTGTATGTTTATCCCCATGTATTTATATTATATATATCCTGGTGAATGAATGGGCGTTTTCACATCGTAATCATCACCACCATCATCACCGTCACAGTCACGGACCACCTCCTGCACCTCCCGGCCTTCATCATCAGATCATCATACCATGCTGCATCCTTGGTACGTGCGCAGCCACACTCAGCTCATGGCAACGCTGTACACAAGCGAGGCGGCTTCAACCACTTCACGCTTTAGGGGTAAACCGTCCAATGTCAACGAAGCCCGGGCGCTCTTCTGCAACTTCTAGCGGAAGGTGTAGTAACACACGGAGCTATTTAAAGTCTTAAAAAATCATCTCACACCGACACTTGCGGTTGATCGTGTGTCAGAACAGGAAGCTGGTGACATGAGAATGGTTCATTCCTAAAGTACGACGTGCAAAACTGAACGCACCGCACCCCAACTATAACTCCAATAACCAGCTGAACGTGCTGACCTTTGACGCACCGCCCTTTCCATCGTCTGATTGGACAATATAATGTAATGAGCGGAACAAGTAAGTCTAATACCGTATGTCATTGGCTTGACGTTATGTTAATCTCAAAAACATTTGCATAACCAGGTCGGGTTGCAGATGCAGGGGAGTGTGCAGAGAAGAGGTAGTTCAAGTGACTGAACTTCTGCGTCGGTGAAGACTCAGCTGTAATCTTATGTGCACTTAACTCAGGCGTGGTGATTTTATTTTAACAAGAAAAAGAAACTTTTAGAATGTTTGATTAGTGTAATGTTATAGTTTTCTAACGTATACATTTTATATTGTATTGTTTAAAATTACTCCCAAAGAAACTTGGCGCTGGTAAGTACATTTCTGAATTTTCTTTATTCTATAAGACATATGTATTATATTTTTTATTAAACATATCATTAGACATTTATATTTTATCATATGTTCTCCTGTAAGCTGTAAACAAAAGTCAAGACAAATTATTTTGATACTGCAACTCAGATCCTGCTATAATTGTTTTATAATAATCTGACTGACAGTTTAACAGTGAGTTAAATGAAGTTTCACAGTATTTTGTGATATGTTGATTGTTTTCTTATCAGAAGTGAACAACTGGTGTTAACCCGTACACATTTTTCATTTATTGGTTTAATACACAGCCTGTGTTCCTCCACAGGCTGCATGCTGTTGAAGGTTGCGGGTGAAATTGCTGATATCTAAAAGCAGGTAAGCCACTGACTAACGCACATTGTGTCAGTTGCCAGTTCCACTGTGCGTGTGACAGCGGCTAACCTGGTTTTGGGAGAACCACTATACCTTTTGTACATCTGGACAGTACTGACCAGCAGGGATCATATGAGCCATTTATACTATCCATACCACAGTTCAGTGCTGGGACACGCATGCTCCACATGCGCAGTTCTTTCCCATGCCACTACTGTATCGTTTAACATATAGAGCAGCTCCACTGTCATAATCAGCAGGCACTTTTATGTTTCATTTTCATAACCGCGAGGGCTTTATGTTTCATTTTCACAAGTGTGAGTTACAGGTTCAATGTTACCGAGCAGTGCCATATCATTCTACAGTGCATCTGAGCACATTTGAGTACTGTATATCCCGTCTGACATCTAAACAAGTTAACAGAGATTAAATGAGATTTCTAAATGTACACTTATTTTCACTTAAAAAAAACAACTAATATTGACACCAAGTATTTTTGAATGTACGTGGCATGTTTTTAAATGTCCTGTTTTAAAATAAAATAAAAATTCCCAGCATTCAGAAGTGTTTTTTAAAGTAATTTTCCAATAATGAACTATTACTCTTCCTCCCTAATGCTATCTAATGTGATGTCAACTACCACGGCTACTGCAAAGTTGTAAAATAAAATTGCTAAAAATTCAATATGTCTGTGAGGGTGAGCTGTACTCCCAACTGTGCTTTGTGAGTCACTGTGACACAGATAAGTGCAGTATGTCAGACTCATTAACTTGAAGACCCATTAATCATCACACAGTAATGTGGATGTGCAGATGCGGATGCTCACACCCGTCCACTTTGCTGGGGTTCTTTCCTAGGCACTTTTAAAAATATGTGGTCACATATATTAAAAATGTATTCTAAAGTGGACTTGTGTGGAGCTTTACTCTGAGTTCAGTCCCAATTTGAGTCCCTGTTAATGTCCTGTTAAGAGATTGTGTCCCCGTTCAGATTTAAAGTCAGTGATGTTGCACCATTTTGACTTTATGTGATTGTGGTTGAAAATGGTGAAATGTCATGACATTGGAGCTTTCAAATGAATAAAGCATTGTCTTGCAGTGTATTGATTTTCGTTTTCCTTACCTAATGAATGTGATTTCTAAAGTTGTATTTTAAAGCATAATTTGTTTGACTGTGTAAATAGTCATTATTACAACATGGTTTAGAATCAGTTATATGGAATATAATAGTTTTGGAGTTATCTGACTGGCTAAATAACCCCACATTATCTTAGAATTTGACCAAACCAACCAACCAACCAACCAATTTGACAAAAACATATTTGTGGGCTTATCTGGTAAATGTCAGCGTCTATGAACTAAACACTCAGGGAACCTGTGTCACTCAGTCAGTCTGTGGCAGCCAGTATATTTACTCTCCTGGGTAAACAAACAGGAAAGGGGTGGAGGACTACTGTTCTGTGCAAAGGCCTGGAGTTAATCTTATTTTTATAATCCCAGAGTGTTTTTCAAAATGACAGAACAATAATAGAAGTGTTAAAAACTAAACAGCCCTTTGACATTAAATTATTTTTATCCATCCCAGCACTTTTACTACAGAGTTAATGTTTCTTCTAGATAGACTTTTACATCAACGGTGTCATTAGTAGCAAATTTAAAACTTGTTTCTGCATCACAGCATTCGCTCAGTGAACTCTCCATCAGTAATCTGTGAATTTCAGATTTAAATGACCCAGAACAGATCATGCATCATGACAAGACACGTCCCAACTCATCAGTAAGGCATGAATATTCCATCATCTTTAATATATTCATAAAATACTTCATACAGCAGCTATTCTACACTGCAATTTTAAGAAAATGGACGCTGGTGTATGAAATATTTACTGCTGGTTTTTGCCAGATGCAGTGTCATTCTGCTTCAGCTTTTACCAGTGATTATAGGTGGTACTTCAACAGCCTGGTGAGAAAAATCAATCACACCACAGAAAATGATCTAAAACAATACACAATTTATTATACTTAAATACATCGTCATGGTGATATTTTTCTTAATAAAATGATTCTAAATTATTTTACATTTCATACAGACACAGAACAGAGGGTTAGAGTAGAAAAACATACTCTGTAAATATACTTTTGTCTCATGTACATTATGTACACCATGGTAGCACGACCTACAAAGAAACAGGGTTAAATAAGAAGTGACGGTGACAGAACAGTGAACAAGATTCCCCCTTGGCCCTGTGGTCCATGTTTTATCTCCACGATGACTCTCGGGATGTCAGGACTGCAAGACACAAACATAAGTGGGGGTGATGATAATCCCTTAGTGTGGAGAGAGAGAAAAAAGACCACAGATTGGCCCGTAAACCCAGATTAGAGAAAGCTGAGGTTCTGAAGTCAGTGATATTTCTGAAGAGAGCGCTGAAATATTAGTCACTGCTAAACAGAAAAAGAAACAGTATAACCTTAACGATAAAATGATGAAATGAACCACCAGGAAAGACCACACTGCAGATGATAAAGAGAAGTACACGAGCCAACACTGTGACCTGTCAGCATCAAGCAAAGATATATATTTAAGGTAAGTGCTATTGTGCTATTAATAATAGCTAGGTTTGGATGGTCGGTTGTGACAAATGTAGCAGCATCATTCCACCATTTAAGTTTGTTATCAGGGTTAACTTATTTACAACATAAACAGTACATTGAGACACAGGGTCATGACAGGTCAAATGTTGCATGTACTTCAAGCAAAAGAATCAGATGCATCCATCCCAGTGGAGGTAAAGGAAAAGTACTGTAACAAACCATGGGCCCGCGTCGCTAGTTTTGAAAAGCATCTCTTGTTTTTAGCAATACGAGGCGCCTTCTCAAAGTGAAACAGAACCAGAGAGATGCATTTCTGCCTAGACAAACAGGAGCCCAGGTTTCACACAGGAAGAGAATGAGACAGTGCAATACATTTTTGGTCCAGCCCTTCCTGAAGAGGCTAGTGTTCTTTGGGAGTCAGACATCACAGGCAAGGTATTGTACAAGGCAAAGTACAGATTCAACCCCATGTCACATTCTGTAGACTGTACACATATACTGTATATAAAAAGGCAACCTGACTTGACATTGGTCTGATTTGTCTTCATTCACTGTTAAACAAACAGTGTTACAGCTGTTTGCAGACTGTGGAATTTAGGGTGGGAAGGCAACTCTGTATTAACAGGAAGAGAAGCAGCTACCGCTAGTCCAGAAGCAAACGGAGAAGAGAGAGTTGGAAAGAACATTAAAACTACATGGATGGTAAAAATATAAAATAAACATGCGTAGGTTTTTTATTTTAATAATAAAATAATAAAATGGCTGTAAAATCCTAGAAGAGCATATCATTAGATATGAGGAATCGAGAGAATTGAAGTCAGCAGAAAGCCCTCCACCGTACATGCACTTCTACCACCAACACCAAAAAACAGCAGCTTTAGCTTTAAACCCAACAAGCAGGTTTAACTAAAGGGGGCAAAGGGCACTGGGACCAGGAGAGGAGCAGAGCAGGATGGAGGTGGGAAGCAGCAGTCTCACACATACACACCCTCAGGATTCAGACTGGACACAAGAGGGTTTTGTAGGTTGCGTGGATGTCCTAGGAATTGTTTAGCTGTCGGGCGAGGAGGGGATTCTTCCAGAGTCGCACTGCAGCCTGAGGAATAAGGGGTGAGAAATGTGTTTTAGTTGACAGCGCTAGCCGCTAACAGTTGATCAGCTGAACAACATGTTTGTCTCTCCATACTTCCATTCCTGTATCCTTCTTGTAAAAGATGTGCAAGTTCCAACTGCTCCAGCTGCTCTTGAAAGTCGCTCCGTAAATGTGTGTGCACAGGCAGGACACCTGTCTGTTGGATAAACTGCTGGAGGTTGCACTGTCTCAGCTCTTTATTCAGCTCCTCCAGCTCCTCTTGTTTGGCCTGAGGGAAAAGAACAAGAACATAATCAGAGAGTGTGAAGGGCTAACTGAGGCACTGGGGGCTGCAAACATACAAAGGCACAGCAAATTCAAATAGTGTGTTAACTGAATGGACGTGTTATCTAACGGTGACAAGACATTACTTACTAACGACCTCAAGAGGGCAGCAGAGCCTGAACATCTACTCTCGACATGCTCGTCATGATCAAGCCATTACACCACGATGAGTCACGGAAGTTGCACAACTTGAGATTCCACAAGCCCTTGACGATCAAATTAACATTTAAATACCAAATATCACCCGTCTGCTGCCTTTTAAATACATTTTACAGACTATATGTTACAGAAAAACGGGTCAATTAGCCTCGATACGCTATGAGGGAGATATGAGAATTGGTCCTCAGAGACTGTGGTGGACCTAACCTTCTTTTTACACATTAGACTGCTCCCACAGAGGGAAGCCAATCAGTCTAAAGTCCCATTTGTCATCAAATGAATGTGTGTGCACAGAGCAGAGGGAGCTGCAGCAGAGCGTAATGGCTCCAGTCTGCTGTTTGTGACCATACTAGCTGTATGCGAGTACGCATGTGTTACTGACGTTAGACCTGGGAGTCTGCTGAGTCAGGTCACACCTGCACCTCGGCCTCCATTAACCTAATGACAGGAATGCTGTGCTCATCACCACCTACAATTAAACACTTGTCTGGCAGCTTCCAATGATTAGCCCACTGATGACACTGCCACAGTTGCTGCAGAGCTGGACTGAATGCACTTCAACCTGCATATCATGTTAATGCCATTTAATTTTTTGAAAAAAACAAAACAAAACAAACAGCAATCTCTTTGCATTCAGACAATTACAGCCCAGGTGGCAAACCTGCTTCAGACACTTGTGCTCTTGTGTTGCAACACAAACCTCTGTTCTGTTGCTACATATCATATTTTGTCATTATCATTTACCTTATTGCAACAAGTTTATTTTGTAAACCCAATTCAAATACTATAGTCTTTGTTGATAGAGAAACTGAATCACACGACAAGAATTCTGCAATTACTGAGGCATCACCGCAACTGTTCTCAGTCCCTCGGCTGAAACCAGTCCAAGTCACATTTGTGAAATTGAAACCAATGTCTCAGAAAATCTTTTTTTTCCCAGTAGATCCAATAAAAGGAACACTTGTTCTAGCAATCAGTCCTCTTTAATGTGCTCTTTTTTCCACAGGGTACAAGATTAAGATTTATGTTACTGTAGTACAACAGAATGAGTAACCATATAATCACAAGAAGCGCACAAAATGACACCTCACAAACCAGTTCAGTCAGTCAGACAATGAAACAATTCATACAGAGTCAATTTAAGAATATAATAATATAATCTGTTTGATATCAAAATGGCAAAGTAATTCATGGTTTTCATTTCTTTTCTGCAAGTGTCTCTGTATTGTTGCGTGCCTGCTGCTGTATGCAGGTAGGAGAGGGATACAGGGTCTCTGTGCAACCCCCCAAACACTGACTGAATATGGGCTGACGGATTTACAGCCCTCTTTCTAGAACTGTGACCTCTCTCCTTACCTGCAGCATAGTCTCTGCCTTTCCCAGGGCCTGGTCGTTCTCAGACAGCTGCTCCTTTAGCTCCGTTCCCTGTCTCTCCTGACTTTGGAGCTCAGCCCTGACGGCATCCAGAGACTCCTCAGGTCCGTTTGTTTCCCCTTCTGCTACGCTTTCCCGCCTGATCTCTTGCTCCAGCTGAGCAGAGTGAACAGAAAATTCGTGGAGCCGCCTTCCACAATCGTCCAGTTTGGCATGAAGCTCCCCGAGCTCTCTCCTCATCCCTCGTTCCCTCTCCACTTCTACTTGAAGCTGCTCCTCCCAGTACTGCTCGTGGGCAAGCTCAGCCTGGTTCCTCCGCATCACTTGCTCCAAAGTGTCTATTTCTTCCTGCAGTCGTGTATCGGACACCGGAGAGGAACATGGAGAAGTGTAGGGACAATGTGAGTCTTTCTCTAGTGCTTCTAGTTGAGCCTCAATGGCTCTTAGTCTTTCTTGTTGTTGAAGAACTTTCCTAAAGACTTCCTCTTTGGAATGGCCTATGGTTGGAGAAGACGATGGAGATGGCACATGTGAGGATGTAGGGCTAGGGGAAGGAGACGAGGAGGATCTCTGTTCAGGGGAGTCTCGAGGTGACCTCTTGAACTGTTTTGCTTTGGTTTTGGGAGAGGAGGATGGCCCCAGGTTAAAGGTCAGTGCTTTTTTAGGTTGGTTGCGTTTGGAAGGCTCTGGCTCAGAATGTTTGGCCAGTGACAGAGGAGATGGCCTGTCCTGTTTTGACCCAGGTCCGTCACTGCTGCTAGGGCCTGTGCGCCGGAGGAAAAACTGAACTTCACTTCCATGCTGACCTAATTTAGCCAGAGACTCCAGAGGTCTCTCTGTGGCCAACAGCTGCCTCTCAGTGTCCCGAAGACGCTGGATTAGAACATAACGGCCAGTCTGACCTAAAGGACAGAGGGACACAGAACAGATGTGTGTTGTTGTCTGCTCAAAACAAGGCCATTAATGAAGTTGTACACAGACACAGATGAAACTAATTTACTTAATAATATCACATATATTAATTCAAACTTGTAATGAGTAACTTAAACCTCATTTGTTCCTGGGTATAATTCAGTAATAATAATATAATTTGTTTTGTCACCCCCGCACCCCGGAGTACCACTGGAGTAAATACATGTAAAGTAAAAACATTAGATGCTGTACGTCTGTATTTTAAGACTTAAGTTATCGGCTACTAAATTTGATTGACAAAATGTGTGGAAAAAAATTGTTTCAAAAACATGAAATGTTTCCACCCGGGCCTTGAAAATAGGACAAATCCTCCTCAATGATTTAGCAGACGGAGGGACATTAGGGAGCATTAAAATCTAGAGTTTATTTTTTCAGTGATTTGACATCATATGTCTGATGTACAGAGAGAGCCAACTCAAGTCAAGGCTGACTCCAGGGGAATTTCAGCAGAGCTCTGGAAGGAGAGAACAAAACAAGACATCTGCACTCTTGTCTGTGTTCAAAATCCCATTAAACACAACATTGTCAATTCTGAAACAAGTTGACATGGAAGTACAGTTTGGACACTCATGTGATATAAAAAAAGTCATATTTATGGTAAATACTTGGAGACACTCACCAATGGCCTGTGCCAAGGCAATGACCACATCTTGGCAGGATGTTTCTTCAGAAAGGCCACACACCACCCGCACCACACCGTCCACCCACACTTTCAGCTCCATCTGGTACCAGGCTGAGTCCGTATGATGGAAAAAAAAAATTCTTTTAAGTCTTGATGTTGTGGTTTAGCTCAGGTCAGCACAGCATGGCACCAAATCTGGAAGAGAAGAACATTTCCAAAGATTTAGGGAGTTGATGATGTGACTGAAGATTATTTTAACTCGCTAGTTGGAGGAAGGAACAATGAACAATTCTGCCTCTCTGCATCAAACATGCGCTCACCAAGCTACAGGTGCTACACCCACAGAGAGTGACAAAACACAAGTGATGCAACTTGATGTCAACCTTCTGAAGACAGACTGAGTCTGTTGTAATATATACAGGTCCATAAAATCAGGTATCACGGCACTGACGTTCGGCCGAAGTTATAACAAAACGCTGATGTCACTTGTGTTTTGTGTTGAACAGCATCATTAATTGTTAGTGTCAACACGAGCAGCTGACGGACAGAGCACAATTCCTACCGGTTGGTTAAGAGTCACAGCAGAGTCTGGTGGACCTGGGAGCATAAATACCAATCTGTAACCCATTTAAACGCTCTACTGCGCTCCTTCAAAGCTGTTATGATAGCTAACTGCCGATGGGAACAGACAGAGAAAGCGGAGTAACTCGAGTGTGTCTCTGTTTGAGGGGAATGTTTGTGTGAGTTGACTGAAATAAAGGGTCTGTGTGTGTACTTTTGATCCCCTCCGAGGGCAGAACAGCAGGGTAGGCCAGCACACGCCTGGGCAGCACGTTTTGCCCAAAATAATATCATTATCTTTCCTCTTCGGTCTGCATGTCTGCACATTTACAGCTTAGCTTGAAAACAAGGTAATAAAATACCACAGTGCTCATAAAATGTAAAAATGCCTGGGGTGGTAGGCTTATCTGTACAGCTTGGTACAGAAAATAAAACTTTGCAGCCTAAATGGGTGGAAGACAATTCTTTACCCACAGTCAGACAGATGGTGCAATCCCAATTTTCTGCCCCGTATTTAGTGGCTGGCTCTGCTCCACTGGCTGTCTATAGGGAGCTGCTCTGGAGGAATGCACTGACTTCATCTGTAGCAGGAAGTATTCCTGCTTTTCTCAACAAAGCCCTTGCCCCCCCCCGCTGCTGACCCGACTGCCCTACACCAGCATTACTGCACTGCTGTTTGAACTTCAAACACAGACTGTCTGATGTGGCAACAGCACAACCACACACCGTGCACATGGGATGTGACAACAGAGCCAGCCTGCGAACCTGAAGAACCAGATGGATAACAGGAAATGCGACAACGATGAATGATCACGTGTTTTAGAGTTCCTGTGAAAAGTCTA